GATGCAGGTGGGACACCACTCGTCTGTCTCCGGGCGAGCGACAGACCGGGTCAAAGAGGAGGAGCTGCTTTTACTGCGACAACCTGGCCACATCCAGGCCCATGCCCAGCAAAAGACAGGGCTCATCAGTAGACCGGAGGTTACTGGTGAGCCTCGCACGTCCGAACCTCCTGGATCCAGACCTCTTACCCGTGCCCGGGTGTTCACCGCGACCCAGTCAGTAAGTCTGTCGGCCTTCATAGACTCTGGGGCTGACGCTAGCTTTATGGACCACAGTTTGGCAAAGGAACTAGGGCTGACTACAGAGCCCCTTCCTCACCCTCTGGTGGCGACCGCGCTGGATGGGAGACTACTGTTCCGGTTTACTCACCGCACCCAGCCTGTGGGCCTTCTACTATCAGGTAATCACTCTGAACAAATATCATTCCACCTCATCCATTCACCGCAAGCTGTCCTGATTCTGGGTAATCCTTGGTTAAAGGAACACAACCCCCATATTGACTGGTCGTCTGGGTTAATTTTGGGTTGGGGAAATCAATGCCATGCCACCTGCCTAACCTCTGCTGCAGCCTCTCCGAAACCTATTAACATTGTTTCAGAGTTTCCCGACATTACTTCTGTTCCCCCCGCCTACGAGGACTTAAAGGAGGTCTTCAACAAGGCTCGCGCTACTTCCCTGCCACCGCACCGTCCCTATGATTGTGGTATTGACCTCCTACCAGGCACTTCACCTCCGAGAGGCCGTCTCTACTCCCTGTCTGCACCGGAGCAAGAGGCCATGGAGACCTACATCCAGAGCTCCTTGGCTGCCGGCATCATCCGGCCGTCGTCCTCTCCAGCTGGAGCTGGATTCTTTTTCGTTGAAGAAGGACAAATCCCTACGCCCCTGTATAGATTACAGGGGTCTTAATGAAATAACCACCAAAAACAGGTACCCCCTCCCTTTAATTTCCTCTGCTTTTGAGCTGTTACAAGGCGCAACCATATTCAGCAAACTCGACCTCAGGAATGCATACCACCTTGTGCGTATTACCGCAAAGAGGGACGAATGGAAGACTGCATTCAACACGACCA